AATTGAACTGATGTATTTTCATATAAATTACTTATACTCATGTTTCAAAATGTACTAATTATTTTTGTATTTTATGAATATTCAAATAAAAAATACTTAAATCAAACCTTTATATTAAATATGTTCATGGTATAAATTATTATTATATATGTAATTTATTCAACAATTTTAGTAAATCACTGTCCTTTCAAAACATCACTTCAGTGAAAATACGTCGGACAAAATTAATATATGTCAGTCATTTTTCTAAACTATTTATTTTAAAAGTGGCTTAAGTCACTTTACCGTAATGAAAAGTAGTGATTTTTTAATGTTTATACGAAATTATTTATACTGAGAAAAATATCAGTATCCTGAGATAACAAATACAAGTAAATCTTCTCGAAAGTTAGCATCCATATTTTTAAACGTATTAAAACGCAAACAAAGTGACTTATGCCACTTTCAAAATAAACGGCTCATCTAAGAAATGTCTTCGAGCGCAAAGTGTTGATTTCATGAAATTTTTTAGTGGGTTTCAGGTGAATGAAGTCGGACTTATGGCTAACGACATGGTCGGCCGAGTCACGGAGTCAATTTTATGCGAGCTTCCTGCACGGGGAGATCCTCATAGCGAATTCTTGCCCGTGAACGCTTACGCATGACGGATGTGGCGATGCACGGTTGCTTAGTCTCTTACGTAAACACACGTCCAGCGTTTTCCACGCTGCGCGAAACCCAGCCATTGACGCGACGAGCATGAACGGGCTCGTTTTTTTAGCGTACACAAAATACGCTATTAATTAAGGCTGGCCTGACCTCCTAATGGAATAATTCGCATTCATTCATCTTGTTCTTGGTTTTTTTCTTGCACGTTGGATTCTGACTCATTCAGTTCATAAATGGCGCCATTGAATATCAGAGAACATTTTGAGAAATTCTTTTCACAAATTATTTATTAATTCGCTTTAACACTAAACCTACCGCCGGTCAAAACGAACGGAGTCGTATATTTTCTTTACGAATTGTTAGAATTATGTCTTTCGTAGGAAATGACTGAATCGAAAGAATAAAAGTAAAAATAACGAGATGTCTAAATAAATACAGTCCTGTAATTCTTGTAATATGAAAACTTGAAGGTGACCATGAAAATTCTAAAAAAACGGTTTAATAATGCTTCGGATATCTTAAAATTTCTTTTAGACTACGTTAGACCAGATAAAAATGTTCATAGAACCTAAAAGGTAATAACTTTTTTTAAAACTGGTCTAAATGACTTTTTAACAAATTAATTCTCTTTTTGGTGATTCAGGCTATTAGACAATGTTTAAAACACTTTATCCCGATCTTGCAATTACTTGGAATAACAAAAAACACATTTAATATAAATCACATTTTATATAAAAAATACCATAGATTAATATAACTCTAAATTATCTTAACACTTCTACGACCGCGCTAGAAACCTCAAAAATTTTCATAAAATTAAAATATTTCATTGGATTAAACAAAAATTATGAAGCAAACTTATATGGCATCGATTACTTCTACAGCATTCGTACCTCTTGCAAATCTTAATAAAATTAAGGAATCATTTTTAATTTTTCATTAATCATCCATTCAATCATCCATTCGATTTTGTGCGAATTTTAGAGGTCGATATCGGTGCTGAACTTGTTAAAAAGTGTCCAAACATTCATTAACGTTGCTTACTGCAGATGAAAACGTTCGCCCGTTAAAGGGTTGATCGCAAGATTTTCCGCAGTTTCGTCGTGCGATGTTCGACTTGAATAATTCCGCGAGGTCTGGTCCAGACGGTGACGCTACGGTTAGGCGCCCGACGTCGATTCATCAGCGACGATAAGCTTCTTGAAAAATGCATCTGTCGTCGCGTCGCGCGCCCTGGCTGGCTCGTATCGAAGGATAAAGCGAGCACGCCCGTTACGCAATTAAGGCCCGCATCCTGCACAATGATCTACTTGAATTGCCTCGGGTTTCTTCTTATTAACGGAACGCTGACACGGCCCATCGAACGATCCACGACCGGGAATCGTCGAGAAAAACATTTAAAATAAATACCAATAATTATCCCCTGGTAAGGTTGGTCAGGATTAGGCTTGGTCTCGTGTTCAGGTTTCAACCAAGTACTCTACAGCGAATTTTTGATAACTGTAATTTAGAAAATCTAACGAATCAACGTGGCGATTACTATGATAAATCACGACTTTCAAGTTATCGTTTTATTTGAAGAATCGACTAGATTTTTGTGCTGCAAATGCAATTCTTTTAGAGCTTTTTACTTTTTCTTGACTTAAAGCAATTGTCTTTCTGACGTTGTTTTGTTTTACAGTGTAAATAAATATATAAAAATATAATAATAAAATTTCTGCATAATACTATCTGGATATCTTGAAACACGATTTCAGGAGACACAACCTTATTTAATAATAATTGCCGAGTCCTCAATTTATTCGTGATAAAAGGATGAAAGCATTGTTATTATTAATAATATAATATTAATATTATTGTTAATAATACTAATTTTATGTAATATTTTTACAGGATGATAATAATAATTTTCTGAATTTTTGTAAATCATATTTGAATTTTTATGCTAACAAAAATAATTTAGATAATATTTTTGATAATATTATTTACAATTTTTTGATCGAGTATTTTCTACGAGGATCCATCATTTCTTCACGTTTTTGTGACGTATGTATGTATAACAATTCATCATTAATTTTATGCTAGTTCATTTAATAATTGAATATCCCTAGACTTTTGTTAAGTAACTTGAAAAAACTATAAGCTGGAAAGCATCGGTCGCACCGTTCAACAATTTTTCCCAGATCCGTATCAAATTGTGTTTTCAACACAATTTTCGTTTACATTCCACGAAAAGAGAAAGCAGGATCATAATCACCGATCATAATCACCGTTTTTCATAATTTATATTCCGTTCGATGCCACGTGCGATTTCAGAGCGTGGCGTGGATGAAATTTATTTCTGTTCTCGGCCAAACAACTTTACAAGTTGCTTCAACATTGAAAGTTCAAACGGTTATTTGATGTTTCTCCGTGAATCTGATTATCAGTCTGCAGGTTTGACGCGCTTATGGCAGAAATGAGTAGATGAAACACGAACTTGCGTAGACATTAGAAGAATTTATGGTTTTATATCGTTTTTACAACTTATATGCTCTCGGATTTAATGAAATTATTAAACGAAGAGATGCCAATAATAATACTAATTTCCGTGAATTAATATCGGTAAAAATAATATTTTGCTTAAACCATCGCAAATAAAGCACGTGAACAAAACAAAGTACATATTATGTGTCACAATAGGGTGACTCACTCCACTCCAATCTAAATAACGACGATGCACGGTTACGTGGTCAGATAATATTGTAGACCATTTTGAAAATTACAATAGTTGCGGTTTCGTAATTTCGTCAGTGCATAATTACCGGCTTGCCAATATCAACCCCTCCGACTACAGTGCGGCCGGGCTCCTGTGCCGGAGTCATTTCTGGTTCACGCTGATATTCTACTCATCATATTTGCGGTCCTCCCCCCCCCCCCCTCCGCCACTCTTGCTAACCGTATGCTAGATGCAAGCTTGTCGAATGCAAGAGAACGTGCATATCAAGAGAAAATTGACTGTGTTATTATTTTAGGTTCGTCACAAGGAATTTCCTAGTCGACATAAGAAATTTCATATCTTCCATATTTTATTTTTTATTTTTATATTTCCTTTCCATATTTCTATAACAGAATTCATGGAAATGAAAATAAATTGAACTTTGAAAATTTGAAACGTTGCTTATGTTGTTTCTTACCATCTAGTGATATAGAATTATATTAATTATATTGTTATGTTTTTATATTATTATATTATTATACTATTATACTATTATACTATTATACTATTATACTATTATACTAACATACTATTATATTATTATTCTATCATACTATTATATTATTATATTATTATACTATTATACTATCATACTATTATATTATTATATTACTATATTATTACATTACATTCCAACTCAATTAGTACTGGAAGTGATCAAAACAATGAAACAGTTATTGATCGTGTTATTGTTCCGCAAAAGATTTTCTAGTCGCTGTAAGAAACGTTTTCTCCATTCAGATTTTCCGAAAAGCATTCACGAAAATGAGAGCGTCTCCTTCACAGAGTCTAGAAATTCTGAAATTCGACAGCAATTCACGGTGAACTGATCGCGTTCCGGATGCATCCAACGATCACCCGCCGATACGATTCGTTTTACTTTCAGTTGGAAACAGCGCGTTTTCGTTTCCAACGGAGAGTGGCTTCCCGTTTAAATATGCATGTCGAGTGAATTTAACACGCCCATAGGAAGAGCCTCGATATTTCCGCTTTGAAATTTTCATTAGTCGTCCGGCGTACCGATCAACAAGTCCGACTCTGATCGCACCGTTGAACGTTCGATTTCAAGCGCGATCTTCTATTCTATTTGATGCCGCGCGCGATTCCACATATTTTAAAGATCCCATTTCGACGTGAATCTTTGACCGAGATATATATTCCGTACGGATGAATCTCGGCGAGCTCATTGACGAAGAACCGTCGCCGAACGCGCAGCAACGATTTGTTATGAATCAACTTGCTGACGCGGTGCCGTCGCGTTAAGTATCCAACGGATGTGATCCAGTTAGTAAATCATGTTTGTTGCCAGCGAAAGAATGAAATGTGTCATACGGATTTCTCCGCTGAAAGAAATCAAGACTCATTTGAGCCGTTTATTTTGAAAGTGGCATAAGTCACTTTGTTCTTAAGTCGATATATTCAAGGGTTTGCGTTTTAACACGTTTAAAAATATGGATGCTAACTTTCGAGAAGATACTGATATTTTTCTCAGTATAAATAATTTCGTATAAACATTAAAAAATCACCACTTTTCATTACGGTAAAGTGACTGAAGCCACTTTCAAAATAAATAGTTTAGAAAAATGACTGACACATATTAATTTTGTCCGACGTATTTTACCGAAGTGATGTTTTGAAAGGACAGTGATTTACTCAAATTGTTGAATAAATTACATATATAATAATAATTTATACCATGAACATATTTAATATAAAGGTTTGATTTAAGTATTTTTTATTTTAATATTCATAAAATACAAAAATAATTAGTACATTTTGAAACATAAGTATAAGTAATTTATATGAAAGTACATCAGTTCAATTTAATTTTCGTCATCGATAGGAGTGATTAAGTCCTCGGAAATCGTGTTTTGTTTCAAATTTTTAATATAACTGTGGTATATTGGGGTTATATAATTAAGCAAGTCCA